TCAATTTTTATCTGTTTATCTTGTGTTTTTCTACCTCTCATTATGAATGCCATGAAATATCCGCGGAAAGAAACATCTGTGTAAAATATCATAAGAACAGAGAAAATGAGGCTTTCAAACTCCCAGGATCAGTTGTGGTATCAATGTTTGCATTGCTATTTCACAAAATGAGGAATTTAGCAAAAAAGTGAGATTTTGCTTCATGTTACAAAACTAACCACCACCCAAGTTCAATGAAGTTGCCTCTAACCTTTTAAAGATACAGAAATATAACTTTAAAGCTTTTATTTTTTGTTAGATCTGTCACCATGCCAGAATGAAAGTGAAGAGATTAGATAATCACGCCATGGGGCAGTGACTCATCTTCTGAAACATCATCCTCAATATCTCTTTATAAGCATCCTAATAAGAAAATCCATTTGCTATCTTTTTTGGCCAAATGTCTAAAATTCTTTTGAGCCCAAAGATAGGTTAAAAACCTTGATACAGGACAAAGGAGAGAAATAGTGAATTGATTGATGTGTTTCAGCTAATTTAACCAAAGTTTATCCCATACTGTGGGGTTTGTTGAGGTTTGTTAACCCATTTATGCTGGAGGTTGCAAATTTTTGTGTGTGAAAAATCAGACCTTGGCAATGACCTTGAGCGGTAGGATATAAATAACTCCCACAAGCTTTGCGTTCCAATAAAGGAACACTAGTTATAAATGGGTTAAGAAGGGTAGATAAGAAACAGTTAAGTAGAGTACACGGTTAATAAATGCCATAAGGACAGAAATGGAACACAAACCAAAATAAATATGCAATAGAAGAAAACTATGGGCAAATCATTTTCATGCTTGAAGCCCCAGTTTTAGCATCTTTAAAAAAATATTGTGCTCCTTATGCCACTTAGCTGTGTTCTTCTAAGAAACAACCATGGCAGCTTCCCCTGGTAGACAAGGTCTGGGCGCAGGATCAAATCCACCTTGCCACTTAATCCAGTGTGACCTTGGGCAAGTTATTTAACCTTTCTGTATTTCAGTTTCAGGATCTGTAAAGTGGGTTGGTGATAACTATTTCTCAGGATTGCTGGTAGGATTAAGTGAAGTAAAACATGTAAAGCACTCTGACAGTGAATGGCATACATACTACATGCTCAATATAGGGTATGGCTTATCAATATTTGAAATATTACTATTCCAATTTAGAAAATGATACTGCCCATTGTTATGAAGCTCCAATAAGATAATGAACACAGATGCCTATAAAAGCAACAGAAGATGTACAATACAGGTGAGGACTAATTATAATTGTGAGGAGAGAGAACTTGATACAAGCATAAATTCTGCTGAGCTACTTCAGACAGTGTGAGTTACCCTTAATGTAACAAAAGATCTTTAAAAGCAATAAAACCTGTAGGGGCTTCATCCAGTGACAATTCCCAAATTAATATAAAATGTGGCAAGCTTTGGCAATCCTGAACAAAGCTGCCTTCCAATGAGTTTTGGGTGAGATAAGATGTTCAATACAAGACTTCCAGCTCTGTCCCTTATGTAATTAACAGTTCTTAATCCCTACCCCTTTGAAGAAGCAGCCACTAATATAGGGATATCCTTTACTGAAGAAAGACTGCCTCAGCAGGAAGTTGATTGCCCTGGCTGGCCCAAGTACCAGAACCTAACCCTAATCCACCCCAGGCTCCCAACCTTGCCCCCACTTAAGGGACTTGCCCTTCCTTTCTTCCTTTCGTCTACCTTCAACTCTGGAGCCAAACCAAGTATCTCTCATTATTGTCTCTGTAGCCCATCAGAGAGCACCCCTAATCCTAACACGCCTACATACACACGCACACACAAATACATGCACACACACGCAGATGCACACACGCAAGCACACCTGTACCTCCCTCTCCCCCTCCCTCCCTTCCTCTCTTCCTCTCTCCCCTTGGAATGACTTCCACTCTCATCCCAGGCACTGGCAGGAATGCACACACTACCTCAGCTTCTCACACTGCTTCTCACACTACATTAGGCTTCTCACACTGCCTTACAATGACCACACAGAATAACTACAGAACTCTCAGCACAGGGGGACTGGTGAACCAGGCCATTTTAAAAAGTCAAGAAACAGGTGGCCAAACCTCAGGACAAACTGCAGATTCAGAGGTTATTTCTTCCTTTCTTGGGCAAAGATTTTATTTGCCTCACTCTATGACAAAAGCATGTCATTTTGCCTCAAACAGGCACTCTGACACTTTGAAATGAGGAATACAAAGCATAAAATAACCACTAATAATGGCAACCAGATAGTCCCCTAACCACAGCCTTCTATAGAGTCTAGAGGTCTTCCCAGCTCTCAGGGAAAGTTTTCTGCCCTCAGTGGGGGACATAATTGGCCATGAGCGGATCAAACGCATTATAAGATATTCCTGTGTAATGTACTTCTCATCGTCTGCCCCACTCAACCATTATTAAGGTTTTGGGATTTAGAACACACACACACACACACACACATATATATATACACCTGTATACATACACTCACACATATACACACCTATATACATACATTCACACATATATACATACCTACACACATATATACACACCTATACACACACATATACACATCTATACACACACATATACACACCTATATACATACATGCACATAAACACATATACACACACACACCTATACACACATACACACCTATATACATATATATACACACATATACACACCTATATACATACACACACATAAACACATATATACACATACCTATATACACACATATACATACCTATACACACATACACCTATATACATAAACATATATGCACCTATGCACACACACATATACACATATACACATATATACACACCTATATACACACATACACATATACACACACCTATATACACACACAGATATACACACATCTATATACACACATACACATATATACACACCTATATACGTATATACACACATATACACACCTATATACACACACATACATATATATACACACTTATACCTTACACACACACACACACACGCACATCTTAGAAAATAAATGACAGTGGGAAAGATACTCAAGCCTATGGGTTTTCCACGGGTTTTCAGATCTTAAGAACAGAAGGACCACTCCCATTCTCTCTCTCCTGCCCCCATCCTGCCTGCTCCATGGACACAGAAGTGGCCTCAGAAACGGGAGGAACAACTGGACTAATGTTCTCTTTATGATTTGCAAGATGCCTATGCTTTTGCAGACTCTCACATTATACTTTTAGACAGAAGCTAGATTTCAAAAGAGGGCTATGGGGAGACAGGGATGGGGAGTCCCACGTGGAGCCAGGGGCAGTTGCTCCCTAGTCCCTCTGTCACCACGTGGCGAAGGGTTTGTGTGGATACTGCGCCCTTGCCACCCCTCACCCTGACCCAGGACATTGCTGCTTTATTTCTGTCCCCTGCCCCTGAGAACATTCGAATTTATGAGCCCTGATCAAGTCCACTCTACTTGTTCCACAAATGAGAAAACATAAAGCCCACCATAGGAAAGTCACTTGCTGAAATCTTCTCTTTTATACCCAACCAAGTGCTTCGGAACCTCTATTTCTAGTGCAGAATCTTGAGTCGGGGAAACAGTCTTGTCTGGAAGTTCCCTCCACCAGCTAAATAACCTTCGACCTTAGAATTGGTTGATCTTCAAGACTCCTTCACCTTCATGCACTAGTCACTGTGCGTTATCATGCTCAAATAGCGACCTGCAGAGTCCTCCACATGCCAGGCCTAGAGCTCTGTGTACACTCTAGATATTCCCACGATGATTCTGGGGAGGCACATTATTCACACAATTTTACAAATGAGGAAGGTAAGGCTCAGAGCAAGGGCACACAGATGGGGCCTGGACTGTACTTGAGCTCAGGTCTCTCTGATACCAAACCTACATATCTTGCATATCTTGCGTATGCCTTGCTGCCTTCCAAATGTCTACCATCTCCTTCAATGAGACACAAAATCAGAACTCATTTGGCCCTGAACAAAATTAAATTCTAGGGTTACCAGTGAAACAGCAGAAAAAGGCTCTGCCTGGGATTGTCACATGGTTTCTGTGTATTTGCAGCTGCTCCTGCTACACTAGACGTTCCCTCAAGGAAGGTGCTTTGCTTTATGTGTTTTGGCCTCTCCTATGTGTATGGTCACTTAATACTGCTTGGAGGTATTGCTCAACAGCTTCTGATTTTAGTTTCTGATCAAATTTTACTAAAATAGGCCTCTTGCGAGGATGCATTTCATACCCCTCTGTGGGTCCTTAGAAAGGTCCTTTCTTCTCTGGTCATCCCTTATGCCCTCTCCTACTTTGATCTACCCTTGGGAAAGTATATCTCAAGGTACACAAAATCACAGGTTTGGTTTTTGCAAATAAAACACATTGTTTTCAGAGCAGTAAGAGATAAGCCTGGCCAAGATGGCAAAACCTCGTCTCTACTAAAAATACAAAAATAACTGGGCGTGGTGGTGCACGTCTGTAGTCCCAGCTACTCGGGAGGCTGAGGTAGGAGAATCGCTTGAACCTGGGGGGCACCAGACCTCAGGTGATCCGCCCACCTGGCCTTTAGTTTAGGTTACCTTTGAAGCAAGGATGATAATAGTTCCTCCCTAAAACTGGTCCTCTCCCTGCTGGGGGATGAAAACCGCCTTTGTAAGACTAAGGAAAGGCCACAAGATTAGAATTTTGGAAAAGGCCTGAATTCTGTGAAGAGGTAGGCACAAAGGACAACCGGCCACTGTCCCCCAGCTTACCTTGCTACAATTCCCTTACTGCTCAGGGAACACAAGTTGTGTTCCAAATTTTTCCAAAGTAAATTAGGCGACAAATCCAACTCTAAGTGGTAAAACAAAACAAAACAAAACAAACAAACAAAAAACATATTTGCAAAGTACTTGAATATCAAAGGAAGCAGTTGTTTTAGAAGTAGCATCAGTTAATGAGTAGTGGTAATACTTACAACCCATATGATGATCAACCTTCTGGATAAATAAGGGTCAATATTCCAGTGAGTGAATGGAAGAAACGTGATGTAGAACACTTCTTGGCCCAAAGCAGCTGAAATTTGGAATAGGTAATAGTAGAAATAATTCTTCACGACGTACTTCTGTACATAAGCCTAAAAGACAAAAGTTAGAAGACTCTGTGAGTTCATGCAGTATGTCAAGTTTAAACATCTCTGTCTAAAACTCACAGGTCTCAATTGCCAAGACGCTGCCTCCTCTCCCGTTATGTTGTTAAGGTATCGTTACTGTCATTGAACACTTTTTCAACCTCAATTTATTCAAACAAACACAGAGGCTGTGATTTTTTTTGTAAAATCAAATAAGTTATATCCAAGACAGAAGTACCAGAAGAAGACACACCAAAAAAAAAAAAAAAAAAGCCAAAAACTTTTTCTTGTATATGCAGAAAGCTAGAAACCTGGAGAAAGTCAACTCTGTTAGGACATTATATAGGTCTCTGCAATAGGCAGAGTAATGCTTCCCTCAAAGATTTCGATGTCCTAAATCCTAGAACTGAATATATTACCTTACAGGGCAAAAGAGACTTCAAATATGCAATTAGTGATCTTTCTATTTTCAAATTTGCATTGATACATAATGATTGTACACATTTATGAGGCACATGTAATATTTTCATCCATACATAGAACACATAATGATCAGTCAGAGTGCTTCAGATGTCTGTCACCTCAAACACTTATCATTTCTTTGTGCTGGGAACATTTCAGATATTTTCTAGCTATTCTGAAATATACAATAACTTCTTCTTATTTTTTTTTGAGACAGAGTTTCGCTCTTGTTGCCTAGGGAGTGCAATGGCATGATCCCAGCTCACCACAACCTCTGCCTCCCAGGTTTTAAGTGATTCTCCTGCCTCAGCCTACCGAGTAACTGGGATTACAGGCATGTGCCACCACACCCAGCTAATGTTGTATTTTTAGTAGACATGGGGTTTCTCCATGTTGGTCAGGCTGGTCTCGAACTCCCGACCTCAGATGATCCACCCACCTCAGCCTCCCAAAGTGCTGCGATTACAGATGTGAGCCACCACGCCCGGCCTGACAATAACCTATTCTTAACTGTAGTCACCCTATTGTGCTATTGAACACTATAACTTATATCTTCTAATTGTATATTTGTATGCATTAAACAACCTCCCTTCATCCCTTCTCCTTCTCAGCCTCAAATTAATAATCTCGAGGTGGGGAGATTAGTCTAGATTTTTTGGGTGGGCTCAACCTAATCACAAGGATTTCTTTTTTTTTTTTTTAAGAAATGGAAGGAGGAGGCAGAATGGTCAAAGTCAGAGAACCATTTGAAGATGCTAAGCTGCTGGCTTTGATGATGGAAAGAGTGGCTGTGAGTCAAGGAATCTGGATAGCAGCCTCTAGGAGCTGGAAGAAAGCAAGGAGTCAGATTCTTCCCTCCAGTCTCCAGAAGAAATACCACCCAGGTGACACCTTCATTTTGGCTAAATAAGAGCCACTTTGGACTTCTGACCTATAAGAGAATAAATCTGAAACTGCTTTTGCAAAGATTATGAAAGTGAAGAAGTCTAGCCTGGCTGACTCTATCTTGCTTCTAGCCTCACAGGCTGGCTGTAATTACTCACTCCTAGGCGTAGGCCAGGCTACTCATGGGAGGAATTTAGGTTAGTTTAATTTTGTTTATTTTTTATTTTTTGTTTGTTTGTTTTTTTGAGAGAGTCTCGCTTTGCACCGAGTGCAATGACACTATCTTGGCTCACTGCAACCTCTGCCTTCCAGGTTCAAGTGACTCTCCTGCCTCAGTCTCTGAAGTAACTGAGACTACAGAAGTGCACCACCACACCGGCTTATTTCTGTATTTTTAGAGAGATGCGGTCTCAGGCCGGGCGCGGTGGCTCAAGCCTGTAATCCCAGCACTTTGGGAGGCCGAGACGGGCGGATCACGAGGTCAGGAGTTCGAGACCATCCTGGCTAACACGGTGAAACCCCGTCTCTACTAAAAAATACAAAAAACTAGCCAGGCGAGGTGGCGGGCGCCTGTAGTCCCAGCTACTCGGGAGGCTGAGGCAGGAGAATGGCGTAAAAACCCAGGAGGTGGAGCTTGCAATGAGCTGAGATCCGGCCATTGCACTCCAGCCTGGGCGACACAGCGAGACTCCGTCTCAAAAAAAAAAAAAAAAAAAAGAGAGATGGGGTCTCACGAAGTTGTCCAGGCTTATCTCCAACTCCTGACCTCAGGTAATCTGCCTGCCTTGGCCTTTAGTTTAGGTTAACTTTGAAGCAAGGATGATAACAGTCCCTCTATAAAACTGGTCTGCTCCCTGTTGAGGGATGAAAACCACCTTTGTAAGACTAATGAAAGGCCACAATATTAGAATTTTGGGAGAGGCCTGAATTCTGCTAAGACGTAGGAATAGTTAAAGGACAACCAGCCACTGTTCCCCAGCTTATGTTTCTACAATTCCTTTATTGCCCAGGAGTCATGTGACCAGAGGTCACAAGGTTTGTAACTTCCCCAATTGCTCCTGTATCGTCATCATCGTCATATAACATCAGTATCGCAGAACCTAAGATTTGTCTTTTGAGATGTTTTCCAGACTTTTGCATTCTGGTGACCAACTGACTCTACCTGGACCCATGATGACTCATGACTCCACTGGTCCTGTGGCCCCCACCCAGAGGCTGATGGGAGTAATAAACTCTCGTCTGCCACTTGGCTAGCTGGCCCTGCATTAATTAAATTCTTTCTCAACTGCAATACAACTGTCTCAGTGAATTGGTTTTATTTATGCAGCAAGAAGAACTCATTGGGAGATTACAAATTTGCATTTTAAGCCACTAAGTTTGTGGTAATTTGTCACAGCAGCAATAGATAACTAATACAAAGATGTTAGAAAAATCACTTGCCTCTGAACTTTATAAATTCACCTTTTAAACGGGTCTAATGAAGTTAACCCATCATAATGATGGTTTGAGAAACACTTAGCAGAAAGTACACACGAGACCTGTTAAAATGCATTCTCATTTTTAAACATCCTTTTCTTCCTGCTTATCCTGGTAGTGGGCAGAGAAGACAGACTTAGGGAGTTAAAACAGAAAATCAGCAATCTAGTAAAAAATATGGTACACACCTTTACATTATGGTATGTTAACAACTTAAAAAACAAAACGTAGTCACCCTGTTACATGAAACTAAAAAGTAGAATTTTAATGCTACTTAACGTAGTCATAAACTTTATAAAATAAAATCAAAGCAAAATGCCAACACTAAAACAGGAGAGAAAAAGAGGCATCACTGTTACAGGGAGATTTTTCTCAAGACTCTTGGAGATCTGGATTTTTGTTTTGTTTTACTCTATACAAAGTCTGAGGTTCTGGAATCCCAGGGGATTTCAGAGAACAAGTTATGTTTGTTTATGTATTTATTCTGTAAATATTCATTCTGTTCCTATGATGTCCAGCACCTGTGCTAAGTGCTAAGCATATTTGGAAGAGCCAGGTGTGATGTCTGTTTCAACAAGCTCTTATGGGAGAAGGGGGGAAGAGTACAATTTGGAGGAATAAATTTTTAAAGGATCATTGTTGTATTTAAGGCCTTAAAAAAGGCTGAGATAGGCCGGGCGCGGTGGCTCAAGCCTGTAATCCCAGCACTTTGGGAGGCCGAGACAGGCGGATCACGAGGTCAGGAGATCGAGACCATCCTGGCTAACACGGTGAAACTCCGTCTCTACTAAAAAATACAAAAAACTAGCCGGG